TAGCAGATGCTACTTTGTAAGCACAAATCAGATTTTTTTTTTATTTTTGCGTAAATGACGTAAAAAAATTAGCGGAAGCAAATCAATCCGCTAACAACTCCTAAACTAAACAAAATGCTAATCCGCTAAATGCGAAGCTGTTTCTGCTGTTAGTCCATTAGCAGTTTAGCGGAACTTTTGTCCATCCTAAATATCTTTCCGAAACAAAAACCTAAGAGAACATTTGACTGGACATAAACAATTATGTCATCTTAATATAATTAAATTACTTTAACATTTGCAAACAAAAAGAATGTATTTTGTTTTATTCTGCTGAGATTTTAGTTTTAGTTTAAGCTTCAAGAAGAAACAACGTTTGACACATGATTAAATGACTCCGGGCTCACCAACACCAGGCTGCCCTCCAGCTCCTCACGGTCCTCGGAGCTCTTGCTGGCCCTGCTGGAGCCCACCACCTCCCCCTGCAGAAGGGCGCTGACACCTGGCCGGTGCTCCAGGAACACCTCCACCAGAGCGACCTGCTCCGCCGCCAGCAGGAGCCCCGACCACCGCAGCAGGAGGAGCGGGATCCCGAGACAGCCCCACCGAGCTCCCGCCATGATCCGGACCAAAGCTCACACTATGAGGGGAATAAAGCAGCTTTAAATATGAGAGAAACAACAAACCGATCAACTGTCAAACATGATTGTTGCAGAAACGCTGCAGTGTTTATTTGAGCCTCGCAGCTTTCCCGATGTAAACAGGAAAAACATTAAACTTCCGGTTTAAAACCGGAAACACGTCAAATATTATTGAATAAAAGCTATCGCAATTTTTAAACGATAAGTTTGTTTTAAATACTTATGTAACGTTAGTTTTTAAAAATATATATGTTCTTAATTTTACCAAACGACCTAATTTTACTCAGTAGCGACATTACGTTCATGTTGGTACGAAGAGTAAAACAACAAGAGAAGTGCCGTCCTGTACTTCCGTTCTTGCTTCAGTTTTACCTACTGAAACGCTCAAATTACAACTGAACTGCTTTTAAAAATTAACCAATTACGCTTTTTACTTTTGCTTAGAGGATGATAAATTAAAGTTTAATAATTATAGATTTAGTTTTAATGAGCATCAAAGACCAAAAGTAACAACATTTGTAGGAAATTCTGGCTTCCGCCCCACGCCAACTACTGTTCAAACAATAAATAAAACTAAATTTTGTGCAGCTGTTAGCCTGAAATAGTAAAAATATTTGTAACATTTAAACTAGCATAAAATAATCGAAAACATAGTTTTAAAAACATTTCATAAGGTTTGGTATTTTTGCGCATGCCTGATCCGGTGCTGCAACAAAGATCGTCTATTAATTGTACTTGAAAGTTGACTCAAGTTGTAGAAATACTTTCTCCTGTATATTCACTTTACTGTAATCTAAATTATAAAATTATTTCCTAAACTGTGTAAAACATAATCATTAGATCCTATTGATCTAATAAAAACGATTTGTCTTGTTAAAAGGCAGGAAAAAATAAAATCATCTTACAGCTTTACAAATAAAATGTAATTTTATCAATGCAGTTATTTTGCACAGTGTTACTATGTTTAGATAAGGTATACATTTTATAAGTGTTTTCATGTATTATTAGACCATATGTTCAGAGTGACGTTGATTTTAAGTGATTTTTTGGCGCCTCCTTTCCACTCAGAGGAGGAGCCTCTTCGTTTTATTTTACATCTTTGGCCGAGTCAGCGCGTTTAAATGGGTATTGTGCGCGCGCCGCCGCCCGTCCTCTCAGTTCTGTTTACATCGGGTCCTGGTCCAGCTGCAGGCGGCCGACAGCCGGCGGGAGCGGAGAGGACACCGAGGCCGGACCAGGAGCATCACAGGGCGGCGTCACAAGGACCGGAGCCCCGCCTGGAGGCCAACCGTCCGTCCGCATCAGTCCGCCTCTCCCGGCTTCACGACGCAAACATGAACGGAAGAGTCGGAGATCTGAGTCCAAAACAGGCGGAAGCTTTGGAACAAGTGAGTTTATTAGTTATTATTAAGCATTAATTTATTTATTTTAATACCTGTAAAGGTTCTCCGATCTAAAAACTCACTTTATTCGTTTATTTTGTTTGGATTTAAACATTAATAAAGCATATTAATGGGTTTTAATCTTTTTTAAACATTTATTACTGAGCTTCTTTTTCTTTTTTCAAAAATTAATCCATAATTTGAGT